ATTGGCGCTGGTATGCACATCACAAACTCTTGTTCTACTGCTGGGCTTCATTACTAAATGAGAGCAGTGTTTTCTGCCCACCCTCCTATCTGGCACGCGGAACTTCTGTCCTTCCGGATGCAAGTCTGGAACAGATTTTCTGAGCTCTACAGCTGGCATTTCCTGGGTTATAGTCATACCCTCTCAGCAAGGTAATAATTAATTCACTGCAAGACTCTTTTTCTAAAATTCTCACCTGCTTTCTTTTCCCCTGCGTTTTCAGTTAGAAGTTGATACCTATATAACTTTATCCTAGTTCTTCACCACCTTGGAAACCACAACCTCAATACTCTTTCATCACCCACTCTAGGGGTTACCTCTTATCTAGACTCTCCTTGCTATAATCTTCAGAAGGCTTTTAATTCAGTACCACTGTCACGCAAGCTATTATTCCCTGAAAGTATGTCATCAATGCATCGCTGAACACGCAGTACAACTCCCCAGAAAGTTATTTCTGCTCCACTAGTTGGAATTCAACAAATAGAGGGCACTGCTATGACCTCTAGATCTCCCAGGCCACCTCAGACTGTTGAGAATTTAACAGAACTGTACATTAGGCTGCTTCATTCTCCAGGCCAGCACATTCAGTGTTTGTCCCCCTAGCAATGTCAAGTTTGACATGTTCTATCCTCTCTCCAGGATCTGAGCTTACCATTTTCCTGCCTGTTACATAGATATGTTATTTCCCTCACTACAGACTTCAGCAGACCATCTGAAGCCCCTGGTGGTCTGAGACACTGCTCCAGAAGTGGGAATAAACACAGAATCCCTCCAGCTGAGGACATACCTCACATGGAATTATCCCAGTACTGTCTTTCAAGTACAGGCAACCATCTACCGACTTCTCTTTGTCCTCTTGCCTTCCATCTGTTAGATAGCCAACCAAGATCAGATAAGCCCTTGGCAAAGTGCTTTGCATGGGCAAAACACCTTGTGCTTGATGAGCCCATTCTTTAAATTCATTAGTGCTCCAGGTCAGGTGGCTGCAGCATGGCATGCACTGCTGATGTTGCAGGTCAGAGATGGAGATGAAACTGGAAAGAAAAGAAAAGTAAAACTATAGAAAAAACTCAGTCTGCAAAGTTTGGGAATTACAGCGGTCACTGCAGTGGATAAAGCTTGTCTAAATCAGAAGAGTCTTAGTTGTTGGCGTGGTCTGATGATACCCCATAGCAAGAATCAACTCAGTCATTGGCGTTAATCAAGGATCTCTCTCAGCTCAGTCAACATGTTCTGCCTGAGCATCCTCTCTGAAAACAGACACCCTTTGCTACAATGGTCACCTGAGCAGGCATGCGGAAGATTTGAGGAAAAAAAATAAATTGAGTTGATAAAATGGAACACAGTGATAAAATAGAACAGTACATGTCAGGGGAGGTGAAAGGGAGAACAGTTATTAGTTCAGACATTTACTCTGCTCTCATGAGACCCCACCTGGAGCACTGCGTCCACCTCTGGACCCCAACATAAGAAGGTTATGAACCCATTGGAGTGAATCCAGAGGAGGGTCACACAGAAGGCTGGAGTACCTCTCCTATGAAGACAGGCTGAGAGAGATGGGGTTGTTCAGCCTGGAGAAGGCTCTGGGGAGCCTTCAGTACCTAAAGAGGGGCTACAGGAAGACAGTGAGAGACTTTTTATCAGGGTGTGTGGTGATAGGATGAGGGGTAAAGGTTTTAAACTGAAAGGAGGTAGATTTTTATTAGCTATAGGAAGAAATTCTTTACTGTGAGGGTGGTGAGACACTGGAAGAGGTTACCCAGAGGAGAAATTACAGTTGACCTTTGTCCCCAAACCAGCTGCACCAGGGGTTTTAATAGACATTCTCCCACCATAAGTTGGAGCAAGTCAAAAGTAGACCCAGAGAAGCCAAACCTTCCAATACGGATCTCTCTCAGCAAGTTGCATGCTTTTCATGATGGTAAGCACCCAAATGCCTTTTACCAACTAAAATATGGACCACACTATCCTTGATTCCACCTTTGTGAGAGTGCACACTTGAAGGCAGACCTCAGCTGGCCAAAAGCCTCACAGACCATGCCAAGGAATTGTCCCCTGAGCAGGACAGCAGGATCCAGCTGGGAAGCTGCCGTGCAAACACCGTGCAGTACAGCAGCACAGTAGGTGCCCTACTTTGGTTACACACTCTACCTACCGCAGACTAGCGGATACGGTGCTTAATCATACCGCAAGAGCGATCGGGGGCGCGTCGAAGCCAAGAAAACGCATGCGGTTACCCGTCTTCGACAACATCCCTCCCACACCCAGCATCCGGGGCGGGCAGCTCGCACATGAGCGACCGGTGCTCGCTTGGCGGCGGCGGCGGCAGCTCCTGCTGCTGCTGCTACCGCCACCGTGCTGGGCTCCCGGGAGGACCCCGCCAGCTCCGCACCACCGACCGGCGGCTGCTGCCGGGCCCTGCCCGGTGGAACGGGGTGGAACGGGGCGAGACGGGGGCGTCTCCGCCGGAACGTGCCAATGGAGCATGTGCAAAGGGAGGAGAGAGCGCCACCGGGCCCAAAGCCACACACCACGCACCCCCCGCCTCGGTCCCCTCATCCCTCTCTGCCCTTCTTCTCGCCTCCCCGCTCCTTCTCTTCCTCCCTGCGGTCACCTGTAGCCGAGCGGCAGGTCCCCGCCACCCGCGCTCCGCAGGCACCGCAGCACCGCCTCCAGCGGCGCCTCTGGCCCACCAGGCCCCTCGCGGGATGGGAGCGCTCGGCGGGCGAAATCCCGAGCCGCCTGCAGCCAGCGCTGCTCCTGGGGAGAAGGAAAGAAACGGGGCTTTCAGCGCCGTGGGGTAGGGGAGGGCCCGGAGGCCTTCCTCCACCGCCCCGGGTCACTCACCGCCGCGCTGGGCTCCGCCATGAGGGCGCCAGGGCAGGCTGCCCGCCTCACGGCGTTGCCATGGCGATGCGGCGGCGGGAAACGGCGCGGGGCCCGCCGGTCTCCGCCCCCTTCCGCCCCTCCGGCCAATCACTGTCCTCCTCCTCCCCCCCCGCCCCGGCAGCGGGCGGCTCGCGGGGGCCGTTACGCCGCCTCGGTCCCGGTGTGTGGCGGGGCGCGCGGGCCAACGGCAGTCTCCCCTGAGGTAAAAAGTCTCGTCCACGGCGGCGAGAGCCGTCCCGCTCTGCCGGGGCCGCCCTTCACGTAGAGCGGCCGGCGAGAAACGGGAGCCCGGGCAGGCGGGGAGTGAAGCGGCCGCGCTAATGGACAAGCTGCTGTGTGACAGGGAAGGTGGCTCGGTCCCCTTGGTGGCACGTAGCCTCGGGAAACACGGGAGGCCTGGCAGGCCAGACGGAGGTGGCGGGGAGGGAGGGTGGCGTAGTCTTGCCGGTTCTGGCGAGAGCTGGGAAGTGGATGTGCAGCCATGCGTCTGACATTTACTTTAATGTCAAACGTGTGGCGGGGCTGCGAGGTCAGGCTTCCCTGCCCGAGCTGTGGGAAGAGTCAAACGTGAAGCTCTGGGGGGGATTTCTCTAACACTTGTGAGGTTCTGGAGAAATGCTTTTGGTTTTTTTTCTGGAAGGCTGAAGTTCCGTGGAGCTTGTGTGTGAAGGGTGTGCCGCATCCACTCCTAGGACAGTATGTGACAAATCTGAAACAGCCCATTAAAAATGGGATTTCCTCCACAGAATTTACTCATCGGTGCGTGAGATTATTTTTTTCCTCTAGGGGCTAATTTTGTATTATCCTCGTTCAAAGCAAGGAAACAAACTAGACAAAACTTGCTAAATCTTTCCCATCTCGATGGCTGCACCCTGGTAACAGGTTATGCTGCTGTTTCCTTCCCTCTTGGAACCTGCTGCTGGAAAGTCAGAGCTGTTCTGAGCCTGAAGTGCAGAAGAGAGTTGTGTAGCTGGTCCTTGTTCTGGTGCTGTTCCTGTGCCATTGCTGGCTTCTGTAGATCAGCAGCTCTGGAGCAGACACAGCCCGTGGAGGTGTTTGGCTTTGTCCGCAGCGTTTCAGGCAGTGCACAGAGTGAATCGTACACATCCTTGCAGACACGAAATGGAAATACTCTTCCAAAGCAACGCTTAGTAACTCAATTTCATGCTGTAATAGGGAGATAACTGCAGAGAACAGGGGTGAGCAGCATTCCCTGTCACAGACCGATCGCTGGAAGGTGGGCGCTGCTGCCATTTCCATCCGCGATCCCTCCCATTCGTGGTACCCGCTGTTTGCAGTAACAAATGGCCAATTCCTACCACTCCTGGTGGGCAAGGGGTAACTAGCAGCTAAACCAGGTAACTAACACATCCGGCTCCTTATCTCAAGAGTGGAAATAGTTCTGAAACACGGGGGCAAGGTCTTAATGGGCGACAAGGAAAGGGGAGTTCTTTGTCATTCAGCCATTCATTCCTCACTGTAGATTTTATTTTATTGTTATTTTAAAAACACTATGGGTAAGAGCATAGGTTAAGTGAAGCAGAGCTCATGCAGAATGTTCTTCATTCTTATATTTGCACCGCCAATGCCGCGGGTTCACTGGAGTGTACAAGAAGATGTGTTTTAAATGGAGGAGGACAGGATCATAGAATGGTTAGGATTGGAAGGGACCTCAAAGATCATCGAGTTCCAACCCCCCTGCCATGGGCAGGGACACCTCCCACTAGAGCAGGTTGCTCAAAGCCCCATCCAGCCTGGCCTTGAACACCTCCAGGGATGGGGCATCCACAACTTCCCTGGGCAACCTGTTCCAGTGCCTCACCACCCTCATAGTAAAAAATTTCTTCCTGAGATCTAATCTGAATCTTTTTTCTTCCAATTTAAAACCGTTTCCCCTTGTCCTATCGTTACACCTCCTGGCAAAGAGTCCCTCCCCAGCTCTTCTATAGGCACCCTTCAGGTATTGAAAGGCCGCTATAAGGTCTCCCCGGAGCCTCCTCTTCTCCAGGCTGAACAATCCCAGCTCCCTCAGCCTGTCTTCATAGGAGAGGTGCTCCATCCCTCTGATCATCTTCGTGGCCCTCCGCTGCACCTGTTCCAGCCGGTCCATGTCCTTTCTGTGTTGAGGAATGGGCATATACACTCCAAATAACGCTATTTTTTTGGCTGTTAAGTAACTTTTAAAATCATTCAGGTGCTGACAAGGCAGTTAGGGTGCAAAGAGTTACTTTCTCTCAACTACGTGGTTAAGTTTCCACACAAACTCAACGTGAAAGCACGGCGGGTAGTTCTTAAGGCTACGGCGAGCCTCCTCTAGACTCTTTTTCCGTCTGTTTTCCTCCCAAATTTCGCTCCGCCGTGCGCCTTCACTTCGGCTCGCCCGTCTGGGTTTTTAAGGAGGACCGTCGGGGGGGCGGGACGGGGTGCGGCGTCGGGGCCGCACCTCCCTCCTCCTTCGCCCGGTTGCCGGCAGGAAACCGGAGCAGTTTCGTTCGGCGCTGCTCCGGCCGGGGCTGGGGCGGCTCACCTACCTCTGGGTGCCGGGGGACGCTGCCATGGGGCCGTAGGGGGCCGCGGAGCCATGCGCGGCCCGGCGCTGCCCTGCAGCTCCCTGGGGACGGTAAGTCACGGCGGGGGGGGGCTCGGGCCGCCCCACACAGGGGGACGGGGCTGTGCGGCTGCCGCCCTCCCCCCGCCGCCGGGCTTTTAGGCTCGGGCTGCCTTCGCCGCCCCTCCTCGTCGCCGCAGGGCTCTCCCCGTGCCTCCGGGGGCTTTGGCTTGCCTGACGGGGCGGTGAGCGGGCAGAGCCCGGGGAGCCATTTTCTGCCGCGGAGGGGCGAGGTGGGCGGTGATGGCGGAGGGGGGAGGCGGGTGTCGGCGGGCGGGTGGGGAGCCGAGACGCGCCCGCCCGCCCGCCGTCGCCTGCGGGGTAACCGAGCAGCGGCGCTGCGGGGCCGCTGAGGTGAGGCGAGGCCGGTGGCGATCCCTCCCCGCTGAGGCGCTGGATTCATTTCGGCGCCGTTTCCGGGATTTATCCCTGAGTCAGGGAAAAGGCGGCTGGATTTACAGGAATGGCGGAGGATTTCCCGCAGCCCGCGGCGGCGCCCCCGTGAACTCTCTCGCCGGTGATCCCGGTGCCGAGGCTGGCCGGGGGCGCGGAGCCGGCCGAGCTGGGCAGCGCTCCTCTCCGGCCGCGGGTGTAGGTGTAGCCGTGACGGTAGGGCTGGTGTCACTTCACATCGTGACATGGCTGTAAATCCTGGTTATAGAAGTTACAGGGTCAAAGGGTTTGTCCCTAAATACACCCTGGTAACAAACGCACCTGACTGCACTAGACTTGCGATGTTGGCTTAGCTGATTTGCTGGCAAAAAGTTGTGACTGCTCCTGCTCAAAGTTATCTTCTTCCAGAAGTTCTCTTTTTTTTTTTGCTCTTGGAAGCTTTTGGAAACCAGGTAATAGAGTTAGAGCTAGCACAGGAGCACACAACTACAACTGTGGAGCAGGAGCACTCCACGCCTCGAGTCCTCAGCTGTGGATCACTTACCCTCTGAGGAGCTAGATAAGACACATCAATGTTTGAGGTGGCTTACATACAGCTTTCAAAGCAGTTAGCAAACCTGGAATAGTGGATTTCTGCGCTAAGTGCACACATCTTGCTGGAGTTCAGATTAAAAAATATGCTGGAGGAAGGGTGTGCTTCAGTAGGATTTTTTTTTTTTGAGGACGTTTCACCTCCCCATTGACATGTCATTTCAAGTTCTCAATAACACCACACTTGCTTGTTACAGATTCTTTTTTCCATTAAATCATGTTTTTCAGTGTTAAAATTTTCACTCTGTTGCATGCCCTTCCATCTATCCTGCATTTGCCCTCATGCCTTTTCTTACTCCCTTGATGCTCCCTTCTAGTTTTCCAGTTCTTTTACATTTCCTCCAATTCTTCAAAATTTCCTGTAGCTTGATTCCATGCATTTTCTATTTCTGTGGGTGTCCTTGACCTCATTTCCAGGTTCTCCGTGTTTTCCCTGTGCATTCCTAACTTTCACAGTGGAAGAAATGGCAGCTGTCTTTGCTGAGGCCACTGTGTTTTCTGTCTCATTGGAAAAAAAAAAAAAAAAAGTTAAAATGGCAGTTTGATTTATTAAACAAAGTTCAGTTTTATGAAGAAAAAAAGCAAAATAGCCCCAAGGGTGCTTCTGGCACTGATTCCTTTAGAAGGTAACGGGAAGAATCACAATTTTGATGTTAGAAGCGACATTATATAAAAATTGAAAAACTAAGCCACCACATGCATTTAATGAAAGAACTGTTGAGTCCTACCATCCGATTTCCAACAGTCTACCAAGGGTTTCAGAGCAGGGCAAGCACACAATCAAAACCAAACATACTTTACTGGCTTCCAATGATCTGGGGTTATGGGAGTTTCCAAGTCAAAATGGTGTCTTCATCTTTCAGACCCCTGAGTGTGGTTTTTCTTCTGCTGATGGGTGTGATGATTGCTTTTGGAACCTAGGCACATTTCTGTCACCTCCAGCACTCTTGGCTGGGAGTCCCACGCCTCAGCCTATGTGTTGGCTAAAAAAAATTATCTCCCTGTATTTGTTTTGAATCTGTCTCTTGCTTGTTTTATATGATGCTTCATAGTACTTGCATTGGAGGAGAGAGAGAACAGCCATCCCGCTTCACCTTCTCCATGGCATTCATGACTTTAGCATCTTCTGTTCAGTTGTCTTGTTTACAGGCCAGTTCCCTTAGGGCAGCCATTCTGTACCACTGATCATCCCTGTTACTTTTCTCTATTTAATCTGGGTTAATTTATGTTCTCTGGATTGGAGACCAGAACTAGTCTGTATTCAAACCTTACGGATTTATACATTGGCATAACAACACTTTCCATTTGGTTCTCAGATCTTTTCCTAATAATTCACAGCATTCGATTGCATCAAATTGCAAAGCATTTCTGCTTGCTTTGTGCAGCCAAGTTTGTTCCACTTTTTATCTGCTTATTAATCTAATTTTAATTTCTATTCTTGATGACCACCCACTTCTAGCCAAATGGAACATGTTTGTAGTTGGTTCTGTGCCAATTTAAATTATGTGGTAACTTTGGTCTCACAGGTGATGAGTATTATCATTTTGGATGGCTTTCTGTTATTTTAAGTGTTATTTCAGGTAAAAACAATTTTATCATGTAGCTGCTTCTTATCCATTGTCTTTAATCATCGCAAAGGGGCTTTGCTTTTATTTGGGAGGGATGTGTGGTATTCTCTTCCATAATCTTGGCCTCGTCCCTGGATAACTGGGTGCTTTCTTTGAACCCTTGGTGACACAGGCCTTTCTACTGCAATCTTGGGAACCTGACAGTAGAAAGTGCATCTCAAAGCTTTATCTATTAAAACAAACAGGAGTATATCAGTTCCAGTGAATAGGACTTGGCACAAAACAGTTATCTGGCTCTTAACAACTTTACCTGATTAATAACTGATATCGTAAATAAACTGATATCGTAAGGTGTGAAGTTCATAATCTTTATAGATAGATCATAGGCTTTTGTTGTTGTTGTTGGATTTGTTTGCTTGCTTGCTTGCTTTTTAAATTAAGATTTCTAAGATCTTTCTTCATTGCCTGAAAGCTATTACCAGTTTTCTGGCTTTAGACAAGCCTTAAATACAGCATTTCCTCCATCTGATCTTCATAAAATGGAGGATTATTTATAATAATAGCTCTTGTATCCTTCTTTTGACCTATCCATGTTTTAGTGAGCAAAGAGAAAAGCTTCCTGTAAATCTTGCTTTAATGCACATTTTTCAATGTGTAAAGCAGAAGTTCTGGTTTCCCGTGCATCTTTGTGTAACAAACCGAAAAAAAAGGCAAACCTCGAAGAGCTTTTGGAAATGGCAGAAGCAGTCAAAGAACAGAAGGGTAATCTTGAAACTTGATTTCTTTGGTAGCTCATTACTCTGAGCAGGGTCTTTGTTTTCTTCCAAACTTCCAAGCTGGCTCATTTATTATGACTCATTAAAAAGGCTTATGATGACTGATCCGTAGATTACTTATGCATTGGTGTGTGTCATGTTGAGCTCTTAAGCAAAGGGAAGTTTCTGTTAAGAAATATTTGAGAAATTCTAATGACTTGTAATGCCTTTTATTTCCAAGTCGTCCTTTAGTTTACAAATGGAATTTGCAAAATGGAAATCTTTTTTGAGAGAAGCAGTTGAATAAGTTGTCGGTGGGGAAACAATTTATTTAATGATGAATATGTTAGGTCTGTACCAAAAAAAAAAAAGAGTAAGCCTCCTAATCTCTGTATTTTAACAGCAGATCTGGATTTATAAAATTGTTTTATTCTGAAATTTTCAGCTTTGTGCTATTGTATTAAACTCTGGGAATTACTAATTTGGATCCATTTTAAACATTAACCTAGTGATGGGCAATATATAGGCTGCCCAGAGAGATGGTGGAGTCTCTGTCTCTGGAGACATTCAAAACACACCTGGACACGTTCCTGTGCAACCTGCTCTGGGTGGACCTGCTTTAGCAAGGGGGGTTGGTCTAGGTGATCTCCAGAGGTTCCTTCCAACACCTTATCATTCTGTGATTCTGTGAATACTATTCCAATTTTTTTGGAATACTAATTGTTTGGAATACAGCTTCTGCTCCAGCAAGTATTGCATTCCTGTTAGTTCCTGTGAACAGGTGTGGGGTCTGTATATTGGGGAAGAAGTTGCTTCCCACCTGTCTAATCCCTCCCCTTCCCACTCAGTTTGCTTTCTGTGACTGACCCTGTCCACTCCCGACACCATTAGGCATCCACTGCCTTTCTAGGCGAAGCTTGTGCTCCCAGCACAACCTTCTCCATCCTCTCTTTCCCATCATAGAATCATAGATTTGTCTAGGTTGGAAGGGACCTTAAAGATCATCTAGTCCAACCATCAACCTAACTCTGACAAGAAAAAAAAAAAAAAGAAATAAGAAATCAAAATCACTTAAACCATATTCCTGAGGACCATGTCAACCCATCTTTTGAACACCTCCAGGGATGGTGCTTCAACCACTCCCCTGGGCAGCCCATTCCAATGCTTGATAACCCTTTTGGTGAAGAAATGTTTCCTAATATCCAATCTAAACCTCCCCTGGAGCAACTTGAGGCCATTTCCCCCTGTCTATCTCCTGTGATTTGGGAGACAAGACCGACCCCTGCGTCTCTACACCCCCTTCAGGTAGTTGTAGAGAGCGATAAGGTCTCCCCTCAGCCTCCTCTTCTCCAGGCTGAACAACCCCAGCTCCCTCAGCCTCTCCTCATAAGACTTACTCTCCAGACTCTTCAACACCTTTGTTGCCCTTCTCTGGACCTGCTCCAGCACCTCAATGTCTTTTTTGTGGTAAGGGGCCCAAAACTGGATACATCGTGCTGTCATAACTGTGGTGTCACCCCTCCTGCTTCCTCCATCCTTCTCCCTGAGGGCAGGGAGCCCTGCAGGCAGCAGCAGGGCCACAGCTCTGTCCCCACTCACTAAAAATGTGAATCGCCGGTGTGCATGATGTGGTTTGGTGGTTTGAATTATCATTCTGCTTAGGTAATACATTCTGTCCACTTTTCTGTGGCAGCGTTGGTTAGTA